TTTATAGTATTATAGAAATGGACCATGGAATGATTGTCTTCAAAGTAAAATTGGTTCGATATTAAAAAGAGCCAATAGCCAATGTTGATATGTAATCTTTATTAAAGTAAGTTGTCTTCGGGGCCCAATTGTGGTGTTTATGTTTGGTTTCTGTTGTTGTGTTTCTTTTTGTTTTGATATATGCTTAGTTCCTAATTATGATCGTCTAGATTCTGATTTCATTTCCTTTTATAAGTTCACAGCTCATGTTTTACTAAGTAACTGAATTTCGTCTCATTCATAATACATTACAAAGTAAAATCGTCTTATTACGATGTTATTGATAAAATTGTTTAAACTACGAAAGATATAGCATTGAAATATATTGTTTATTTTTGTGTACTCACTCGTTTAGACTACATGTATGCTGTTACCTATTCCAATTTAATTGAATACCAGAGAAAATCTGAAAGTGTATAAACAACTATTCAAACAAATACCGATTTTATAGTACGGATATTTTCAGGTAGGTATCTTTAGTTTCCAAAGAAAAGATTATTTTACTTGAAGCTCTTGAAGCTCTGTTACCTTACAACTTAGTTCCCGTTATTAGCTGTAAATTTGGTCGTCTCCAACTGTGTTCCCTTTGTGCACTTATTGGGGCAGTAAAGCTGTTATAATCCTCTTAAATGATCTATAGTTTACCTCAGGGTGTTGTCACTAGAGTACATGTCTGCTTCCCCGGCGTCATCTATCATCAGACAAGCATTGCTCCACTTGAACAGTACATGTACCTGACCACAGCCTGCTATTCTCTCTATTATTTACATATTTTTTTTTGTATTTGTGTATTTTTAGAGAATTTTCCACATTACAATAATATATACATTTCATATTAAATAGTAAATTCCTCTTTCACACTTATACATAATTCCTATCTTTTTTAAAGTGACATTTTGATTACGGTAATGTTATATAAGAAAGTAAAGAAAATCAGAAAAAGACAAACAAGAAAACAAAGAAAAATTACAAGTACATTTATGTAGTAAAATTGATTTTTTTAGTGAAATCGATGTTTTATGGATTTATGTCAATATAAGTAACTATTTACATACATTCTAAATCAGAACAAAACTGAAGAGTTAATTTGATACACGAGAAAAAAATATCGATTCTCCACCATAAAACACAAATTCACTAGTAAAGCGTAAAAAATATTCTTTTCTTGGATTGGTTTTATATTTGATTTAATATTTTTCTAATGTTGAATTCGTGTTTTAACTGACCTCCAAGATTGGAAATCTAAACTTCAGTACGAGGTTATCGCAAAATCCTTTTACAGAAAAAAAATCAATGTCAGAACCTTTTTCCTCGTTTCAGAATATATCAATTAAGAAAGAGTTTAACCTCCTGTTACATTGATAAAGGAAGGGTGCCCTTCAGGCTTCCGGTGACTTTCACTAATAACGTTTATATATTTTTGCATAGATATACCTGGGGGCATGTCATATCATGATGGCATAATCTCAAGGTATATTAATGCAAAACAAAAAACAAAACAAAAATCTCATTACCAGAAGACCGTTTTTTTTACTTTTTTTAAAATATTTGTTTGACTTAGTATGTTGACAGAAAAACGATAAGTTGTTGTTTTTCTATGCATGATCTTCAGATTATGTTAACAATAATATTGATGATAATTGATTTTTTTTTTTTTAAGTTTTGCAAATATTCGTTACAATTTTCTGTGGAAATGTCATGTTACTCCTGTTAAGCGTCTGCCATAGTTCATTGTATGTTCAGCCGCTAACCAAGGCACTACTTTATACGTTTATATAATACATAAAAGTGTACAACAACGATCTATATACTACATACAAGTGTACAACAACGATCTATATACTACATACAAGTGTACAACAACGATCTATATAATAATACAAGTGTACCACAACGATCTATATACTACATACAAGTGTACCACAACGATCGATATAATACATACAAGTGTACAACAACGATCTATATAATACATCCCAGTGTACCACAACGATCTATATAATATCTACAAGTGTACAACAACGATCTATATACTACATACAAGTGTACCACAACGATCGATATAATATATACAAGTTTACAACAACGATCTATATAATACATACACGTGTACAACAACAATATATATAATATATACATGTGTACAACAACGATCTATATAATACATCCCAGTGTACCACAACGATCTATATAATATATACAAGTGTACCACAACGATCTATATACTACATACAAGAGTACAACAACGATCTATATAATATATACAAGAGTACAACAACGATCTATATAATATATATAAGTGTACAACAACTATCTATATAATATATACAAGTGTACAACGACGATCTATATAATACATATAAGTGTACAACAAAGATCTATATAATCATACAAGTGTACCATAACGATCTATATACTACATACAAGTGTACAAATATATACAAGTGTACAACAATAATCTATATAATACAGACAAGTGTACAACAACAATCTATATAATATATACAAGTGTACAACGACGATCTATATAATACATATAAGTGTACAACAAAGATCTATATAATCATACAAGTGTACCATAACGATCTATATACTACATACAAGTGTGCCACAACGATCGATATAATACATACAAGTGTACAACAACAATCCATATAATAAATACAAGTGTACAACAACAATATATATAATATATACATGTGTACAACAACGATCTATATAATCATACAAGTGGACAACAACGATCTATATAATCATACAAGCGTACCACAACGATCTATATACTACATATGAGTGTACAACAACGATCTATATAATATATACAAGAGTACAACAACGATCTATATAATATATATAAGTGTACAACAACGATCTATATAATCATACAAGCGTACCACAACGATCTATATACTACATACACGTGTACCACAACGATCGATATAATACATACAAGTGTACAACAACGATCTATATATTACATACAAGTGTACAACAACGATCTTTATAATATATACAAGTGTACAACAACGATCTATATATTACATACAAGTGTACCACAACGATCTATATAATGTATACAAGTGTACAACAACGATCTATATATTACATACAAGTGTACCACAACGATCTATATACTACATATAAGTGTACAACAACGATCTATATAATCATACAAGTGGACAACAACGATCTATATAATCATACAAGCGTACCACAACGATCTATATACTACATATGAGTGTACAACAACGATCTATATAATATATACAAGAGTACAACAACGATCTATATAATATATATAAGTGTACAACAACGATCTATATAATCATACAAGCGTACCACAACGATCTATATACTACATATAAGTGTACAACAACGATCTATATAATAGATACAAGTGTACAACAACAATCTATATAATAAATACAAGTGTACAACAACAATATATATATTACATACTAGTGTACAACAACGATCTTTATAATCATACAAGTATACAACAACGATCTATATAATACATAAAAGTGTACCACAACGATCTATATAATATCTACAAGTGTACAACAACGATCTATATAATGGATACAAGTGTACAACAACAATCTATATATTACATACAAGTGTACCACAACGATCTATATAATATCTACAAGTGTACAACAACGATCTATATACTACATACAAGTCAACAACGATCTATATAATAGATACAAGTGTACAACAACAATCTATATATTACATACAAGTGTACCACAACGATCTATATCCTACATAGAAGGGTACAACAACGATCTATATAATCATACAAGCGTACCACAACGATCTATATACTACATACACGTGTACCACAACGATCGATATAATACATACAAGTGTACAACAACGTTCTTTATAATCATACAAGTGTACAACAACGATCTATATACTACATACAAGTCAACAACGATCTATATAATAGATACAAGTGTACAACAACAATCTATATATTACATACAAGTGTACCACAACGATCTATATAATATCTACAAGTGTACAACAACGATCTATATATTACATACAAGTGTACAACAACGATCTTTATAATCATACAAGTGTACCACAACGATCTATATACTACATACACGTGTACCACAACGATCGATATAATACATACAAGTGTACAACAACAATATATATAATATATACATGTGTACAACAACGATCTATATAATCATACAAGCGTACCACAACGATCTATATACTACATACAAATGTAAAACAACGATCTATATACTACATACAAGTCAACAACGATCTATATAATAGATACAAGTGTACAACAACAATCTATATATTACATACAAGTGTACCACAACGATCTATATACTACATATGAGTGTACAACAACGATCTATATAATATATACAAGTGTACAACAACGATCTATATAATACATAAATGTGTACAACAACGATCTATATAATACATACAAGTGTATAACAACGATCTATATAATATATACAAGTGTACAACAACGATCTATATAATACATACAAGTGTACAACAACAATCTATATAATACATACAAGTGTACCACAACGATCTATATATTACATACAAGTGTACAACAACAATCTATATAATACATACAAGTGTACAACAACAATATATATATTACATACAAGTGTACCACAACGATCTATATACTACATACAAGGGTACAACAACAATCCATATTATACATACAAGGGTACAACAACGATCTATTGTTTAGCTTAACAACCACCGTCTGTCAAAATCAACGATTCAACACATTATCGAATTAAAATTATTTATTTACAGCCGTATCTTGTTGCTTATATGTTATAGATTCTGGCAGGATCGGTTTGCTGTCAGGTCTTGTTCCGCACTATTAAAATATTCAACGATTTGATCGTTGTTGTTGACGCCAATATCTTAATAAATATGTTTGTTTATTTCAGCAATGGCGGCGGGAAATTCTACAAAAACACCAAAAGTAAGTAAATATTTCAAATGTTTACATACACTTTTGTTTTTATATGCGAAAGTACAAAGGTTCTTACACTGCCTAAAACCATACATGAAAATACAACAAAAACTACAACCGAAACTCGAATCAAACTTTCATATCGAAGCCGCAGGAGTTACTTGATATCTAAGTACCACAGCTACATACATGTTACCATAATCAGTCTGATCTCTGAATCAGCTGTGTGTCTGTGACATTGCTACATCATGAATTTCGTTTCGCATTTCTGCAATTTCTAACACTGGTAACAACCCGCATTGTTTTCTGAACCACGTGACCAACACAACCAATAGTAGCGTTTAGAAGCATATTCAAAACATCCATGTCCTGATATGATGCCTTCACATATCTTACTTTCAACGTTTCTCGTGTCCACTTGCCCATCTGGAATTTAAAAGCTTTTTGCTGTATTTTATGTAATGAGTGTTAAGATATCACTGGAAGGAGTTATCAATATATTAACATTTAAATGACTATCTTTGGGAATATGGGAATCATAAGTATAAGGACATCTATTTTTATGTTTGGTGTTTACCTGGAGTGATAATGCCATGGAACGTTGTAAAATAAATATAGCTCTTCGACAACTAACTAGCATGATATCCTTAGACAATGCTGTATTTTTAAAGCACTGTACACTCATTGTCACTAATCCCCCCGCCAGTATACATCCTTATCGATCTACAGGCATCTAAAAACTAACAAAAGCCCGTTTTCTTTCGAAAAATCTGCATATCTTTCGATTAAATACTCTATACTGACTTATTCGCAGCTAATCAAATAAATCGGAAAATCACAATGGAGAACAATAAACTAGTAAACAATGAAACTGTTAATTAAACGCCCCAGCTTGGATATAAAAGCTCATCATTGTCAGCCTTGGTTAGCCTTAGCTTACCTGGACGCCACAAGGTGTGGTAGGAAAACCGGACCAGAGTTCGCTCGCAGATGGCTGGCGTTCAGTTGGTCCGCGCACATTCTGAATAATACATTAGGGGTTTATGATTGGTAGCGTGTGCAAGTATGCCAGTCGGACTCATGTAGATATCTTCGAAAAGTGCTTACGATTGCATCTTGTGTTCTGCGTTGTAAACCTTCTAATATAAAATCACTCAAAATCTCAGAACAATCCTTTTTCCTTCACTTGTCACATAGATATCACTTTATACCCGTAACAATCACCTGTATGTCGTTATATCTAAGCATTATAAACTGTACGTCCTTATAGCTTATAAAAATAACCTGTATACCTAAAGCTTACCAATAAAAACTGTACGTCATCATAGCTAATGACAATCATATGTATTTTCTCATAGTTTATCATTGTCAACTCTACGTCATCATAGCTAATGCCAGTCACCTGTACGTCCTTATAACTATCATAATCACCTGTAAGTCCTTATAACTATCATAATCACCTGTAAGTCCTTATACATAACACAGTCACCTGTACGTCCTTATAACTCTTTACAATCACCTGTACGTCCTTATAGCTATCATGATCACCTTTAAGTCCTTATAACTAACACAGTCACCTGTACGTCCGTATAACTATCATAATCACCTGTAAGTCCTTATAACTAACACAGTCACCTGTACGTCCGTATAACTATTATAATCACTTGTAAGTCCTTATAACTAACAAAGTCATCTGTACGTTCTTATAACTATTATAATCACCTGTAAGTCCGTATAACTATCATAATCACCTGTAAGTCCTTATAACTATCATAATCACCTGTAAGTCCTTATAACTATTATAATCACCTGTACGTCCTTATAGCTCTTTACAACCGCCTGTACGTCCTTATAGCTCTTTACAATCGCCTGTACGTCCTTATAGCTATCATAATCATATGAACGTCCTTATAGCCCTTTACAATCGCCTGTACGTCCTTATAACTAACACAATCACCTGTATGTCATTATAACTAACACAATCATCTGTTTGTCATTATAACTAACACAATCACATGTGTGTCATTATAACTAACACGATCACCTGTATGTCATTTTAACTTACACAATCATCTGTATGTAATTATAACTTACACAATCGCCTGTATGTCCTTATATCTAACACAATCACTTGTATGTCATTATAACGTACGCAATCACCTGTTTGTCATTATAACATACGCAATCACCTGTATGTCCTTATAACTTATGACAATCACCTGCATGTCATTACAACTAACACAAGCACATGGATGTCCTTATAACTCATTACAATCACCTGTATGGCATTATAGCTCATAACAATCACCTGTATGTCATTATAACTAACACAATCACCTGTATGTCCTTATAACTCATTACAGTCACCTGTATGTCATTATAGCTCATTACAATCACCTGTTTGTCATTATAACTTACGCAATCACCTGTATGTCATTATAACTCAATACGATCGCCTGTACGTCCTTATAACTAACACAATCACCTGTTTGTCATTATAACTTACGCAATCACCTGTATGTCCTTATAACTCATGACAATCACCTGTATGTCCTTATAACTCATAACAATCACCTGTATGTCATTATAGCTCATAACAATCACCTGTATGTCATTATAGCTCATAACAATCATCTGTATGTCATTATAGCTCATAACAATCACCTGTATGTCATTATAACTAACACAATCACCTGTATGTCATTAAAGCTCATAACAATCACCTGTATGTCATTATAGCTCATAACAATCACCTGTATGTCCTTATAGCTCATAACAATCACCTGTATGTCATCATAGCTCATTACAATCACCTGTATGTCATTATAACTCATTACAATCACATGTATGTAAATATAACTAATACAATCACCTGTTTGTCATTATAGCTCATTACAATCACCTGTATGTCATTATAACTCATTACAATCACCTCTATGTCATTATAACTCATTACAATCACCTGTATGTCATTATAACTAACACAATCACATGGATGTCATTATAACTCATTGTAATCACCTGTATGTCATTAAAGCTCATAACAATCACTTGTATGTGTTTTATTTTTAATTTACAAATGATCGACTGCTAAATGATCGATCAATGTAAAAATGGGTCAAAGGTGATATTTATTTTCGCCATATATTTTTTTTATTGTTCATGCGAATTATTTTATGATATCGCGTTCTATGAAGACATAAATTGCAATATATGAAATGGAGTCAAAATCAAAAATGCGTATATATGTTTAGGTCACGCAAGCGTTTGAAAAACAATGTGCTTCTTTCATCCTTCCAATACCCACTCACGATGTCTTCCTTATCACAAGCGCTTGCGACACAACATTTTTTAGATTTATAGATGTTTTCCATTCTGTGCTTTAATACGAATACATGATCATTTAGATAAAGCCATGTCGATATTAGGATCCAAACGCAGAGTTGAATGCAAGGTATGCTTTAAATGTTACACTTCAACTATATTCAGGATATTATGAATGTATAAAATGACGATCTACAATTGTGACTAAGAAGCAGTAGTCAGTGGCAGTAATAAGGACGTGCCTGAACTTTCCAAGTTATACGAGATAAAGGGATATCCCGACTCCCTTTCCATTAGACGTCCGTAGCCTATGCAAGTGACGAAATATATCCCCACCCCCTGCCAGTAGACATCCCTAGCATATCCCAGTGATAAATGATACCCCTACTCCCCTGCCAGGAGACATCCCTAACATATCACAGTGCTGAGTGATATCCCTACTCCCCTGCCAGAAGACATCCCTAACATATCAAAGTGTTGAGTGATACCCCTACTCCCCTGCCAGGAGACGTCCCTAGCCTATCCCAGTGATAAGTGGTATTCCTACTCCTCTGCCAGGAGACGGCCCTAACCTATCACAGTGATAAGTGATATCCCTTCTTCCCTGCCAGTAGATTTGCATAACCTATCCCTCTCTCCTACCAGTAGACGTCCCTAACCTATTCGAATGGTAAGAAATATCCCCACTCCCGTGTCTGGCATCCATTTTTCCGCATTATGAATATTGGATGTATCATGCTTTGATTCCAAATTAATGGATTGATGTTCAGCATGCAATAGAGCCAGGTAAGGCAGCGGTATTGACAAGTGTGTAGATGTACTACTTCCGTTCCATTACGAGTCGGTTTGAAATCTTGCGTCATTGGTTACAACGTTAGATGTTAGGTACATGTATACATGAATGTTATTCCTTTCCCTCCATAACCTGTTTAAAAAAACTTTTACGCCCATACATCAAGTATCATCGATGACAAATACTTGTTCGCACCTCCTAAGCATTTCCTTGTGCTTGCTAATTCCTTAGCATACATATCTCAAAATACTATTTTTTCTTTCATAGACACTTTCTTTAAATAACCTTTACAATGTTCTTCTCCTGATAATCTTTCAGCAAAACTATCGCATATGATTACGAAATTATGTCAGATTGTTATATTAAAACTTAAATCCAGCAAATGTTTAAAGCAATTAGTAAATACAATCACGGGATATCAAAGGGAACTTAAATGTTTCCAGGTACGCTCAGACAAGTTTGGTAATGGTGTTTGTACAATGGAATTTCTGCTCAATAGCATACTGTCCCAATGACTATATTCATAAGTAGTCTTTTCTAGTCTCGTGCAAATAGAGCAAACAGACATCTTGGCTTTATTACTGATATAGTCTCCGATCTAAACAAATATAACATTAATGATGCATTACAAGCTATCGCCGCTCAGCATGTTCCTTATCAAAGCTTGATTTTTAAACACGTATTCCAAACAGCAATTATAATATACAAGAATACGCTTCTGAATGAGTGAGAGGACATTATCAAGGTTTTAAGACATATATCATAATTATTTATCATAGTTGCTGTGGATATTCAATTTAAAACAGATTTTCAAACAAATAAAAGCGAATTACATACATTTCTGATACCGTTATGCAGACCCCTCGATGGTTAGATGGTTTAAGGATATTCCTTAATATCATTTTCTTTATCAAACCCAGCAAACATGCCTGTATGTTTTGTGTGATATATTTAACACATTTGTAGCTAATAGGTGTGATCTATATTTACATTACTTTTACTACTGGCTATCCTTGTAGTTCGATCCCAATAAAGAATGTAGAACTTCTCGTTCCATATTGATAAGTAATTGTTATATTCTTATATAACGAATGTATATACATAAATAATTGTACTTATGGTGACCTTTATAGATCCTATGCAGACTGGACTTTTTAAATCATAATGTCCCATTTGTCATCTTTTTCCTGTTTGTTTACTGACGCATATCTTATACTGATCGTGAATTTCGTTCCCTATATTTTCTATCTCTTATCGCTGTACAGAATTATTTTTGGCCAGTACATGAATTTATTTAAGAGGTTTTTTTCTCGGCTTTTCTTGAAAATTCAACAAAGTAAGTTGCTACGTTGTACTAGGCTAAACGATAACGCATTGATGAATTTTTCGTATGGAATGAAATTAGATTTCGTGAGAGAATCAAAAATAGTTAATGCGCACAAACACGTAAGATTATAATTTTCCGACAATTTTAAGAATCATTTTGATTGCTATCACTCAGTAACTGGTGACTAAATCAGAGGTTTACAGTCTCTTAATAAATGATAAAAAATGAGAAATGATATTTTCATATATATTTTCACGGGATCACAAATATTGATGTTATTGGTACATGTACAAAAATATTTTTTGGCAAAAATGGAGATGTTTTTGTATTGATATTATTAGAGGTTACTTGAGTGAAATTTGTGGTGTCTTACTCGTTCAAAGCTAGAGACGTACTCCAGGGATGGGGTCAGCTGTCATAGAATTAGTACACTGTAAAACCTGCCAGTAAAAGTCCTCAATGACTAAGTTAAGTTAGTATTAATTTGTGTTTTCCTGATTTTGTACAGTAACAGAGATTGTGTCACTATTTAAGAAGGATAATAAACAGTTTCGATTAAAATAGTGATTTTCAAATTCTCTTTCTGTCTACGGTTGGTAAAATGTTTTAAGTAACTATTTTTTAATACTGTCTTATATCCAAACTCAAAAGGTTCTCTGTTCTGCCATTTAACGGTATACTAATTAATAGAACTATATAACAATATGTTTCTAAATCTGGAAGAAAAGTGGTATGCTTAATTTCTGTGACGTTTCATCGTCTGACATGATGGCTTATTACTTAACCTAAAGTCATATGATATTCTGATAATTTCTGGTCCCGGATTAATAGATATTAAAGTAACAAACAACAGGAAGTACTTATAAATATCTCGTGATCAATTATCGGTACGATATGGACGGGGGGGGNTTTCAATCAATGTTAATGCCAATGTGCTTTAATCTACAAGTTAATTTGTTGACATTTACGTTGCTCAAAAATTATATCCATATTGAGAATTTAAAAAAGGCATTTTGAATTTGGAGTCATTAAATAGATGATCAAAACCGTGACTTGTTACGTTCAGTCCAAATAAACCAGAGTTCTTTTCATATCGAATCGACAATCTTAAATTGTTTTCTATAGAAATATCTGGCATTGTAATACATCAATGTCTTCATTATTGAGTCACGTTAACCTCAGATGCAAAGTCGTCAGATCACGTCCACAGTATTCAGTCTGACAGTCAGTGATGAAAATTAAAAATGTGTCGAGAAAATTAAACTACCTACATGTATATTAAAACGTCGTCTGTGTTATGAGGTAACAAAACATGTGTATTACCAGTTCTTGAATATGAATGCGAGATTAGGAATAGACGCACTTTGGTCAGTTCTGATAAGTTGTAACACGCACAATACAAAGCAGCTATAATAAGTACTGGAATACCCTCACGTGCAAAAAATGAATCTCTATTATCTCTTTTATAAACATTTGATGAATTATTAGTATGCATGTACCTCATTTAGCTTTTTGTGGCTGTTCCATTGCAGCATAAATTATATGAAGGAATTTCGCAACACGAATTGTTCCTTTAATCTATCTTGCTTGGACTCATTTTTCAGCTTTAAAACACTGCATGTTTGTTATTTTTTCAGGACAACTCCCAGTTTCTGACGGATGAGATGGTGACAGGTCTGTGTATGGGATTCGGCTTTATCATCGGGCTAATCACCTTCATCTGTATCATTTGGTGTTTATGTTGTGGATCGGGCTGTCGAAAGTCAGACGAGAAAAAGGGGCGCGTTGGCCCCTCTCCCTCACCGGGACGAACGGCCCCTAGCACAAGGTCGACAACTGCGAATACTTATTCAACAGGAGAAGGACGCTCTCAATCAGGAAGAAGCTAATCTTTGTGAAACCGGAAGTTTCAAACCGGATGTTTATGATGCGCAGGTGCTACAGATTGTTAAAGGATGAGATTTTTATAAAGTGTTACAAGAAATAATAGAATGGTTTATGTTTAGTAGGAAGACTTTGTGGTGGACTCAAGTGCTATAGGGCTGTAAGTTTGTTCATTGTCGATGCGCCACAGCGCCTACTTAAGTATAGGAGAATGTGATAAAATATGGAAATATATTGACCAACATGCATGTAAATAAACTGTTTATATTGTTGGACGATGGTAAACATGTAGAACATACAATACTTGTGTAAACGTTTCTATACAAACACCTGACACCCGTGTATATTCTGTCACTTGGTTCACCTTTACAACCCCAGTACACACAACACTCTGGGGATCAACAAGGTGTGTTCAGCTGGTTGATTGTTCTATTCACTGCTCTACCATGATATAGTATTAGCTGAGTTATTATATAGAGATTGTAAAGATTACATGAGAAATAATACCTGTATATCCAATGGAAATAAGAAACATAAAATATTCCATTAACTACACTTTAAGGAATATTACTATATCATTTTGATAATGCATTGATGCTGAAGGGATGGAGTAGCTCTGTAGCAAATATTTGTCGAAAGTGTAGACGTATGGATATATTTATGCTGCAAGAACACAAGTATGTGGTAAGAAATAATGTTGGAAGTATACAATATTGACAATGAATACATTCATACATGTAAATTTATCTCTGTATCATTTTGCACCTTTTGAATGTTATTCAAAGCTGTCCCCCCCCCCCTCTCCACAGATCCAATTCGCCTACCCCAGCCTTCCCCTCCTCTTGCATTCGTTATGATCAGCAATATACATGTTATGCAATGCACCCGTTCTTTGAACCCGAGTTCTCCAGCTCACGCCTCATGCTACTTATACCGTCCATCATACTTATGTAGATCTGTCTAGCTAACGAGTGAAGAAACTTCACCAGAATCAAACGTGTTATCAAGTCGCAATCAAACCCATAGATGGTGTTTGTTAGATACATTAATCATAACATACAAATGTAGTCCTACTGTATTACGTCATCACTTAAATATTTACAATGTTTTAGTTAAGCATAGGTTTTATAGGTTGTATAGATTTAAGCTATTATTAGGTACTAAAATTATAGGTAAAAAATAGTATAGGTTATGTGTAGGTCATAGGTATTATACGTTATAGATATAGGTTATATCTATTATAAACGCTTTACCTATCGTAGGTTAGATTATAAAGGTAATGGTATTCAGTATGTGTGTGTTACAGGTTTTACAGTGGAATTCCTACATGATATTGATTATAAATATGTATATATCATAATACAGTATCATAGGTTATTCTTTTATATTAAAGTTGCATTCAGATGAATATATATGTTATCAAAATTTCAGGTTTGGTTGATTATATGATTTATATAAATAGAGAATAATACATGCCTTTTCATATCACACCCAGTATCAACCCAAGACTGCAATATCAGCCTAAGGGCTGAAGGCCCGAGAGCTGATATTGGTCGAGTTTTTTTTCCAAAAGGGGTGTGATATGGGTTTTGCGGGCTGATACGGGTTTTGGCGTGTGATACGGCGAGGACTGATATGGGTTAGAGCAATTGTGTCGTATCGTATATACAAAAAAAAAACGTATTTATTAGTAAGTATGTAATAAATGTAAATAATACGTTGCATGCAAGTTTAACATCTACAGATTAGGTAACGTTGTACAGATTAAATATAAGCTATATATATACATGTGTAGGTACATGTATATCAATCAAGTTTGACCATCTATTTATTTAACACAACAACTCTCTACGCTCTTATTCATACTAATCGGACTTTTTGCAGTACAAAAAATGAAATCTAATTAGGATATTTCTTAGTCACATAGCGACATCAATCAAATGTCTTTTAAAATTCCTTTAATTCGTCATTGTCAGAACGACCCTTTGTTCATACTTTTGATGTCTCGTCACTGTATTTAACAATTCCTCATGTTTCTAAATAACGTTTCAAAGATTAAAGTATGTCAGTCTTTTTTGTCTGGTTCTTACAGAAGCCGATACAAGTTTCTGAACATTAATAGAAATGGGACATTTTTTAATTAAACAGAAAATAAATCACTAAATCTATACTTGGTAGACCAACATTTTCCAATAGAGACTCAATGTGTTTATCTTCAAGTCGATCTGTTTTTCCGTCCTTTAACACTAAATTTATGTGAGAACTTTCTGAATAATTCAATATGTTACCTGCAAGATCTTTAAAAACTTGTTTTGTACGTGAACAACAAGAATTTTGAGTGCTAACTTTCTCTCCTGAAATGGAAATAAAAGATCCCACAGACTTCTGTTATTCAGATTCACATAAAGAAAAAATAATTAAAAGAATGAAATGTATGGGCATCTTAGTCCTATTTGTATTTGAAAATATGATAAGACTTACGTTTAAAGATAAATGTTCTTTCCGCAGTAGAAACATTTCAGCCTCCACTATTTGTCACTATTGATTTGCTAGTACCTTTTCTAAGTACGCCTTCCTGTTTTTGAGAGATACTCTAATCTATGTTTAAGACAGTGTAATGTTTACCATGACTCAAGACATGTTTGACGAGGGATATCGTGATAGGTGATGCAGATTTAACGCTTACCTATTTTGTCGATAGATTTCAGACTTATATGTAGTTATGTTTTCTTTAGTTGACGAGGGATATCGTCAAAGGTGATGCAGATTTAACGCTTACCTATTTTGTCGATAGATTTCAGACTTATAAGTAGATATGTTTTCTATATTTGACGAGGGATATCGTGAAAGGTGATGCAGATTTAACGCTTACCTATTTTGTTGATACATTTCAGACTTATATGCAGATTTGTTTCTATATTTTACGGGGATAACGTGACAAGTAATGCAGATTTAACGCTTACCTATTTTGTCGATTGATTTCAGACTTATATCCAGATTTGTTTCTATATTTTACGGGGATAACGTGACAAGTAATGCAGATTTAACGCTTACCTATTTTGTCGATAGATTTCAGACTTATATGCAGATTTGTTTCTATTTTTTACGGGAATAACGTGACAAGTAATGCAAGTTTAACGCTTATTCGGAACACATGACTTCTCTTATCCAGTGTGTGGTGGCTCACCCTTTTCCTTTTGTTTTAAGCTTTGCTCATTCTTTATGTTGTCTTTTTTGTATAAATTTTGAGTTTAATTTTTTTGTTTATTTCTATTATTTTACCTGAGGGATATTTTGATAGATAAAACATAAGTTATAACAGTTGTGTTCACCATTGCATGACAATGCTTCTGTATAACCAGACGTATTTTGTCAATCATATTTGCTATGAATGCTAATCCTCATAATTGACGTCATCATTACTATAGTGACAAATTGGAAATTGACTCTGATTGATGGAGGATTATTCCATTTATACTTCAGTAAAAAAAAAAAATCAAAAAGGTGAGCATATTCAAAAAATGAATTAAAATAAGCATTGATCCGCTTTCAATTGGTACAATATATAAATAGTGGCGAGGAGTATAGAGGTTATTTCCAGTCGGCATTTACAGGCAGTTCTAAGCTCAAACACTACATGAGATAACAGTCAGATAAATCGTATGTAATAGGTATAAAATAATATGAGTTTTTATATATTAGTAGTACATAACATATACAGAATATAATGGGCATTACGGATCCGTATTGTAAGCTAACAACCTGGTGTGTTTCGGTTTTGTCATTACTGATCCGTATTGTAAGCTAACAACCTGGTGTAATTCGGTTTTGTCATTACGGATCCGTATTGTAAGCTAACAACCTGGTGTGTTTCGGTTATGTCATTACGGATCCGTATTGTAAGCTAACAATCTGGTGTGTTTCGGTTATGTCATTCATATTCTGTTACTTACCATTGTTGATGTATTTCAGTGTTTCATTTTTTTATTGTAAACATGTCATTCATATTCCATTTCTCAGACCATTTACATAACTATCCTCAGTTTGACTATCTGTCACCCCTGAGGATATGACAAATTCTGATAGCACTTTAACAGAAACACTACTATGACGTCACATATAACGTCACAATCACTTATCGACGGGAGAGGTCATGTGCAAATCAGAAAAGAAGACAGGCTACAAACGCCAAAAAAGATCTTTTTCAAACATAGTATTGAAATGATGGGGGGGGGGGGGGGGGAATAATCATTCCCAACCTTAAGCTTGTAATAAAGAAATGTCCTACCCTCGGTCGGGTGATAATTTGGTTGTCTTACCCTCGTCAGAGCTCCAGGTTATCAATCAAAAGAAAATACTCCTCGGGTTGGATATTTATCTGCATGTTAGGGTTAGTTCCTATTTCCTATATAACATATCAACATTATTATTGTATGTTCATGTGGTCTCCAAACGCCGTGTGGTCAAGTCCTTGTAACAAGGGGACGCAAAAAAACATTCTGAATGAATTGAATTACACATCACCCGATGAAAATAGCAAAAAAATGCCTATTGTAATATTAATAACGAAACTTTGAATAAGAGTATCGAAATACAACTATCGTGGTAAGATATATGATAGCAATAACATGATACAGCATATGAATGACATGTTTTACAATTAGACAATAGGTTGAATGATACAACAGAAATACAATAACTATGGTAGGAGATACAATCACAATAAAATCGAATATGAATGACATGTTTAACAATTAGAACGAAACATCGACTGGAAATACCAAACCTTCAACAGAAGTAACGAAGGTACGAGTAGCAACAACAAATCAAAACATGGAATACCAAACCGCTGAATATTAATGACAAACATACGATAATGAATAACGAACATACGATAATGATAAATTGCATGTATAATTCAGCAACGTTTGACATGACCTATAGATTGATTAACGATTTCATAATTACGGAGTTCACAAAGAAACATATCATACGTATTGTATATTGTATAATAAACGCGCACTTGTGCAATTATTTTCCCCTAGAGAAAATCTAGATGATACAAACAAAGAGTGACCCCGGGTCGTCCATTAATGTTCAATTGAATTCTTTCCACTGTGACAGATATAAATCGTTACACTGATATGATACTGACCTAGATGTCAGCCTAGAGCACACATAGATCACATGAGTATAGTTTATGTCAGCATGTCGTCGTAAATAATTCATAAACAATGGAGAAATACTGTTCTCATTTATAAATAATATTTATTATTTAATATTGAGAGTCGTGGAAACATTTTATGCATACATTTTAGAAATACTTCTTACTGCTCGACACAACTTCTAGTACCTGTACTAGTACCACTGTAGTCACATCGGTACTTAAACCACCAGCGGCGGATTTAGACCGGACCCGGGGGTCGGGGCATTCTCCATTGGTGGCCAAAGGGTGAGCTTGTTTTAACGGAAAATTGAAATTTGGGGGAAATGTCTTTTCTTTGTAGCAGTTGTACCCACTCCATACAAAAGTATTAGATCCGCCACTTCTAGAATCCAGATACATTTCATTCCATTTTTCACCTGATATTGATTTGATAAATCAAAATTGTAGATATCAAAACAAAAATAGTGATTGGCTTAATGGTGATGCATTATTTTTGCATCCGTTCAAATAGATAGAAATTGTGTAAACCTTCACATATGTATTTTTAGTCATTGTTAATCAACATGTCTTGTGTATTTAGAATCAAACATGCAAATAAATCAAGTATTAAATTATTCCGCCTATTTTTTGTTTTTTTGTTTTTGTTGCTTTCCAACCAAACGTTTTATCGCAAGATGACCATTTTTTCAGGTTATATATATATTTTTCATCATATGTTTGCAATAGGTACCTTGCATATGTCCACCGGTGGTTTATATCGCATGGCAAAATAGCCCTCGCCTCAGACTATCATACTTATAAAATGACCTTCACATATTCATCGCATTTTCACTGCTATATCTGTCTTTTCGTAACCCAAAATATATGCTCTCTTTAAATCAAATCACGTTAAAACCACGAGTTGAGAGATATTTCTTGATCGCATTTTTATTTTTGCAATCTTGAAGTCATCCCCTGTTTTCGTATTTTTCAGTACTCGGAACCACACTGAATCACGGTCAGGTCAGACGTATTTATTCTTATTCTTTCCAGTGTTCATTCAGATTAGATCTACTTACAATAAATGTAGCACACTGGTTCGCCCCACACAGATCTGTCCTATGATAAGACTTATTTACCTGGCTCGTTTTTTTGACCGATTTACCACTCAACCACAGTTATTTGCCTTGCTCAGTTCTATCAGTTGGCATAAGAATGTTTTGCTCCGCTCATCGCCGTAGCAATAATGTCAAACCTCAAAATAACACAACGAAC